AATCATTAAGTGAAGGTATCACTCATAAATTTTTCACATTTTCATCCCATAAATTATTCAGCAACTCTTTCTGAACTCTTTTTACCTCAATCTTAAGAGTTCAAATAATTTCAAAAATTTTTTATTGCCTTACCTTTGGAGAGGAAATCATGGCATTATTTGATGGTAAATACTTCCGAAAATCGCTTATTGTACGAAATGGTATTGCTTTTGTTGGGCCAACATTTTCTAAAAATTTCTCTTATTTAATTTACAAAATTTCCTTTCATCTTTTTCTCTCATTTTTCTCTCTCTCTCTCTCTCAATCATTATCTATTTTTCCTTCGCTTATCAATTATCGTATAAATTTGTTAACTAATTAACATAACTCTTTAGCAGATTTTATAATATGCTTAATTTTGAAAATTTAAAAGAAAAAGAATGATTGATTGAAACAAACAAGCAAATGTTACTGAAAACATTATCAACTTTTAATTAAAATTGTAAAATTATTAAAAACAATAGCAGTTCTTAATTTATTAATTATTGTTGTTAATTATTGCATTATCATTATGTATCAAATTTAAATTATTTCAAAATATACATATGCATATATAACTTAATTTGACTATTATTCTTTCTTCTTTTCATTAATTATATCATAACTATAATTAATAAATACTAACCATTTTGGCGTACAATACAAAATAATTTATTGGTTGGATGTAATGGTTTAATAGAATGTAAAAATATTGATTTTATGCAAATATCCGCAGAAATATAGGAAAAGTTAATCAGAAAAAGGACAAAAAAGATGACAGCTGTTGCTAACATCGTGAAGAATTACGTTGCCATAGACAACGGTAACAAATTGATTGGTTGGTTTGTTTGCTTCACTAATAAGATCGCATATTTATAAAATGCAATAATCAGCCATATCTGATTTTTATTATTTTCAGTTATTTCAATTTATAAACAAATATAATGATTAGAATAAAAATGATTAATTAGAATGAATATGATCAAAAATCAAAATAAAACATTAATTAATTAATTAATAATAAAATTTTCGATAACATAATCTTGCTTAAAATTTAATTCACTCCATTATGTAATAACCATAATTGCTGATTTTTTTGAAATGTTTCATTTCATTTTCTTTTCATCTTACATCCCCGCTTATCTGCGATCCAAATTTAGCACTTTGGAAAATATTCTAAAATATAAATTTGAGTAAATGTCAAAAAAAAATTAACTTAAAATATTCATTGATTAATTGAAATTTTCACTGATTGATATAAATGCCAGCCGTTAGATGTAATCCTTCAGAGAACATAACAGAAATTAAACGATTGGTTGCTTCATCTTTCGGTTACATTTCACATTATCGGTAGTGATTTCAATATCCGGTAGAAAGCTTATTATTGCCTTTACTCCATTCATTTATCATTGATACTCAATATTTTTCAAAGTAATTCATAAATTAATTCGAAGAATTATATTAACATATCGGAATTCGGAAATTCATTTCGAAATTTCCTTTCTGCAAAAAAGTTTAAAAAAGTTTGAATAATTTTGGTACGTTAACTTTTGTAAATTTGAAGCAATTAAGAATAACTATGATACTGGAAGTAAGAAAAAAACATTCCACAAAGTTTATAAATGTTAAGATTATTGCCAGCTTTTACGCTTGGCCATAAATTGTGATAATAGGATTCGAATACAAAAAATATTATAGTAAAATATAAATAATTTTTAATATACCCTTTCATAAAGACGAATCGAATCCATATCACTATTAATTTCGTAAGATTCATCTAATAGAACGGAACAGGAATGTTTCCAATTTGTGTGGAAGTCTGAAAAATTAATGATTGACATTTTTTAATTAACTGAAAGAATTTAATTATCAATTAATACATTTGTTTAAGTTGTAATTATTTCAAGTTCTTATCCTTTAACTTCTATTTTTAGTAATTGTCAAAGTTTCTTTATACAATTCTTTTATTTATTATTTATTTATTAGCACCATGTTGTCATCCATTAATTGAAATTAATTTCCATTTTCTGCGCTTCATTTTCTTCTTTCAATTTAATTCAACTTATGCGAATTTCATTTCATTTCATTTCTGTTCATAAAAATTGTCGCAAAAGTTTCGCATTTCTAAAAATGGCACACATCAGATTTTTGATCATGTGGTGGAAAAAATGCCATCACAAATGATAGGGAAACGAGGAAAGTTAATTTAAAAGCCGAGGAGAGAAGAAAGTTGAAATTCTGAAATTAAGGGATATATTAAAACCTGCAAGACCATTTCAAGGCTTTTACAATTCAGACTGGATTGTAAGAGCCTTGCCGCTTTTAACATATCATACAATTTGAAGATCATAATTGATAGAATGAATTTAAAGATCATGAAATTCATATATATTAAGTATGTCTGTGTTAAATAATGGCAATAATTTAATATAAGCGTTGAAAATTATTTTAAAAATTTTTACAACTCCATATGACATTTAATTTAAATAAATTTAGTTTTCATTTTTCGATATTTGATAGCTAATATAGCCTTACATATCTTAGATATGATATTATATTGTAGGATAGATTGAATTTGTAGTTTGGTAAAAAGATAAAGAAAAGAAAGCGATATGTCAAAACAATCAAAATTGAAATCAAACCCAGAGATTGTAAAAAAGGTAGTGCGAACTCATGATAAAAAGACGACGAAGGAAAGTAAATTGAATCGTGAAAATCGAATTCGTGGTCAAATGGAGCGTAAACTTGCCACATATCAGGTTGTATTGATAATGTTTGAGGTTGTATTGATAAAATATCAAAGGAATATATTTGAAAAGTTAGAACAAATTGTAGAGAGGAAATGATTAATGAGTTTGATGAATTAATTAGCATATATATCATACAATTATTTAAACTATATTTAATATATATTCAGATAGGTTATACTCTTATTTTTATCAATGAAAAATAACAGTACAACTTTCAGCTAAGCTGTACGAAATTTGGTAACGAAACCCGAAATAAGTATGAAGTATCACAAAAGTTATTAATGAAATCGCTATACACTGCTGAAGTATGCGTAATTGTATTATTATCATTTGATAAGATAGTTATGTAAAATGAATTACAAATATCGTCTATTGTAGGAAATTGATAAGAGGCATGCGCTTGCTGAACATTTGCGCTCCATTGCACCGTTTAATCATCGTTGGCAGGTTTTTAACTTTTTCAGCCACTTTAAGTTAGTTTCTTGTTTTTGTTTTCAGTTTCGAAAATTTTTACCACAAAATTTAAATTGTAATTTTGTTAAGGTAACGGAAACAATTAATGAAGGAACGTATGGTGTAGTATTTGCAGTACGTGATGTAGAAACTGGTACAAAAGGTGTAATAAAAGTTGCCAAAATAGTAGGTAATGATGCAGGTAATCAAGCTGCCGAATGGGAAGGTTTTGTATTGGAAAAAATTTATAAAAATGTATTGTTTTTTTTCTATATATTGATTAAAATTTGCATATTAACATCTATACATTAAATTATAATTTATAAAACTTTGGAATTTTATATCCAATCAATGTAAAATAATTTCATGGATATTCAATGAAGAATTTATTTAATATAAAACTATTTCATTGATATATAAAGTAAAATTTTACCAATAGTTAAATGGTATCAGATGATAAATCATTAAGTAATTTTCATCTGTTTTGATACGACTGATATCTTTGAAAAAGGTAAGAGAAGCTTTGAAGAAGTAACGGGAAGATTTTAATTAAGGATAAAATAATTTTCTAATAAAAGTTATTAATATATAATAGGAAATTATAGAATCCAAATGCAAGTATTGTACGATTATTGGATAAAGGTATGCTTGTTGATCAAAATGGTGCAGGAATGGAATTTATGGTACTTGAAAAAGCAGAAGTTGGAATTGTGGAATGGCTTAGCAATGTAAATTATCCTTCTTCTTTTCATCTCTCATTCAAATTTAATTTCAGATATTACTGCATAAATAAAATAAAAATTTGAAGTGAAAAAGTAATACCAATGAATATGATACATCTCTTTACTTACTCTTACATTTAAATCATAAATATTGTGAATCATTTTGTAAATTATAATAAAACTAAAATTAATATCAAAACGACTACAACGTTGTTTTTTTAGTTTTTTCCTCAATTAATAATTCTATTAAGTAACTTAAAACAATTTTAAGCTAATTAAATAATTGCTTATTTGTCAACAAGGTAATACTAACTTCAAGTTTACATTATCACTTTTGATAAAAGAATTTTACAGTTCAGTGGTATAAAAAGGAAACTTGCTGTTACAAAAGCTATGTTGCAAATGTTGAAAGGTTATATATATCATAATTTGGAATAATTAATTTAAAATTTGTTGTAAAATTGATGAATTTATCTTTTCAAAGCCTAAATAAAATTTGGAAGTGAATAAATTATTTTAAGCGAAAAACTTATCATCTTATCACTTCCTTATTTTCTTAAATGTGTGATAAAAAGAGTATATACATTTAATGTTTATTCTTAATTAATATAAAATGTATGCTGTAATTTTTTTCAAAAGTTATTACATCAAAAATATTAATTAGAACAAAAACTATGAAACACAAAAAATGAATTACTATATGGGATTTACTTTCATGCAGGAATTTACGATATGCATCGTGAGGGTTTATTACATCGTGATCTAAAACCGGATAATATGGGTATATTAAATATTGATCAACCTTTCGTTGTATTGTTTGATTTGGGTATGACAAAAATGTATACTGATGAAGAAGGAAAAGCAAGTTTTATTCATGCTAATTGTAATACAAGAAAAGTAATACATAAATGATAACTTACTAAGAAAAGTATTAACTTTATGATAAAATAAAATTGCTGCAATAATTTTACTACAACGATATTCTCTGATGGAAAAAATGATGTGATAATAATCTTTAGAGTTGAAAGATTTATGTAGTTTAGTGCCGAACACCGCGATCAACATGTGCTTTTCGTGGTACACCAGAATGGGCTAGTGGTTGGGCATCAAAAGGTCGAGAACAAAATCGTTTCGATGACTTAATTTCATGGTTATATGTAGCATGTGAACTTTATGATCCATCTTTAATGGTTACACAACCATTACCCTGGACAAATCATCAAAATAAACGGGTAATTTAAATATTGAATTAATTAAAATGAAGTTTTTTTAAGTTAAATTCAAATGATAAAATATTTTTACAATCAACCAAATTTATATCTAATTATTATTTTTTTTAGATTATCAATTATTTAAAAACAGTTTATTGTCCAGCGCAAATTTTGCTACGACGAGCTCCACGACAATTTTACGAAATTAATGCATATTTAATGACAGCTAATCGTAATGTAACACCAAAATATAAATTCCTTGCTGATAAAGTGATGGAAGCAATCAAAGAATTGAAGATATTGGCAGATGGCGAAAAAACGGTTGGCCAATTGAATTTCAACCAACAATTTCTGTCATTTTTAAATCAATAGAAATTTAAATATTTAAAAGGAATATATTTGAAAGCAAAACAAATGAATTATTATTTCAGAGTGAAAAAAATAGTATTGAAAATAAGAGAAGTACAGATACGATGACTGAAAAAACTTCGGCAACAACTGAAAGTATTCAAAATGTGAAAATAAAGCGAATGATAAAACAAAAGAAGGTAAAGAAGTAATGAATTAAAAAAATGGAAAAGGAAATAAACAAACAGTTATTTGTAAATATTTAATAGACTGAAATATAATTTTAGTTATTGGCGAATTGTCTTAACAGTAAACAATTATATTTTTGTTTACCATTAAGCGGTAAAGCTTTCATTTTACAGTATCCATTTCTATATTCTCATATCTTTTTTTATTGTACCCATTATTCCTTCTACAATAATTCTTCATTCTATTTGCAATTCCAAAGTTATTTACTAACATCGCTCATACTGCTTACAGTTACCGCTTACAATTTCACTATGATTACTTGCAAATACCAAAGATACTGCTTACAGTTACCGGTTACAGTTTCACTATGATTATCTGCAAATATCAAAAATACTGCTTACAGTTTACTGCTGCCAGAATTTATATCAAAAATCTACATTTAAAACTTACTCTGATACTCTAATTTTATAAAAAAAACTTCACATTTCAGTTCACCCTAAATTATTATTTGGGTACCACATCTTTTTCTCTTTTAAAAACTGAAGGCACTAAATTTCGAGATATCTTTCTTGAAATTTAAAAAATTTTTTTCGCACAGTTGCACAATTGAAGTAAAATCAAAATGTTGAATTTATAAGACCTCATCATGAAAGCTTATATTTAAAAATTATTGATTATATTTCTCTTCTATCTCAAAAACACAAGCAATATCAAAACAACATCAAAACATGTTCTAATAAAGTTTAACAGTCATTTAATGAAACGCAACATTTCAGAATAGATTATTGATTAATCAATGTATTTTTCAACTCTTTGACAAAAGAAGAAAACAACTCCTGTTACTTTTACTTTCATGATTCAATTCTTCTCATTCTCAGGTTGCCATACCTTCTCCTTTGAGTTGCCGTACCTTCTCTTCTGATATCTCAGGTTATCGAACATTCTCTTCTCATATCACGGGTTGCTGTACCTTCCCCTCTCATATCACAGGTTCCCGTACCTTCCCTTCTCATATCTCGGGTTGTCGTATCCTTTTTTCTCATAGCTAAGTGCTTTACTCTTTAAGTAATTTTAAAAAAATGTCAAAAACTTGTTTTATTGAAACTGTTGAAAAAAGTTGAAAAATAGTTGATGACACTAATATGTCAACAATTTGTCAACATATTAGTCGTAAACTATTCAAAAAAAGAATTCGAAATTGAAAAAGAAATGAATCGCTTTTCTCTTTCAACTAATAAATTTTTATTTTCACCTTTATTTTAAAAACTGTTCCACTCTTTTTAACTTTTAAATTAAATTCACTTTCTTCCTTTCTTTATTTGAAATCGTTTCTCTTTCATTTCACATTTTCCTTTTGTTTCAAATACTTTTGCAATACCTTTGAATTTATAATTGAATTATAGAAATTACAGTTTTATGTAATAATGGTACCTTTTATTGAAAACTTTAAATTTTAATTAATATTTAATTTATACGAATTTTTTTTATAGATTTCGGTTATTTTGTTAATTTTGATCGATCATGAAGTTACTATTACTAATATCATTAATTAGTTTAATTGTAACATTTGGAAAAACACAAAAATCAATGGTATTAACACAATGGTTTAGTACAGGTACAAGAAATGTTAAATATGAAACTATCGCTAACAATTTGATGGATAGCAACGGTAAAAATCTATCGTAAATTTTAATTTTGGAAATTATTTATATTAAAGTTTAATTTTAGCTATTATTTATAAGTTTAATTTTATAATTATAATTTTTGGTAAAATTTATATTTAAAAGAAAAATATTGTGCTAGGAAATATTGTTCCACAAAAAATACATGGAAGAAAAGATGCGAATAATCGAATGATATATGATTGTACCGATATTATGGGAAGGATACGACAGAACGGTGAAGAATATGAACGACCAAATGGTCGTTTCAAATATAAATGCGATAATGGAATCGAAATCGTTACTGGTTAGTTATACCTTCGTGTTAAATTTTGTGATATTACTTTCACTTAATTATTTTAAGATAATTATAATAAGTAAAATAGGAAATTTCGAAAAGTTACAAAAAGGTTTAACTAATTCTTTTATAATCTTTAAATTATGCAATCATATAAAAATATAATTTACGATACAATTATATTAAACAATGAGATAATTATAGGATAATTAGACTATAATATCCTTATTTAAAGTAATTTTGCAGTCCATTTACTTATTCAAAAAAGCTAAGTGACATATTTTGAAATGATATAAGAATATTTACGACATAGTTGTCAAATTCGATAGTGCAAACAACACCGATAATTATAAAAAAGGTTTAACTAATTATTTTATACTCTTTAAATTATGCAATCATATAAAAAATATAATTTCGATACAATAGTAAATATTACTTTCACATAGTAAATAAAGATAATAGCTAGCACATTTCAAAAAAAAATCATTAATTATATTAAAAATAAAAGATTCATTAAAAAAAGGAAAATTAAAAATCGTCAAATAACTTGAAAATTAACATAGCCTTTTTTCTTAATTAATGGAACAGTGTGATAAATTCTATAATATTTGTTTAGTTAAATAACATCAATTAAAATTAGCATATTTATAAATCATTATTAATAATAATAATAATATAAAAGATAATGTATTTTATGTTGATAATAAAAATAATTAAATTATTTCTGAATTTTCCACTATTCAATTTAATATTTAATATTTAATTTCAATATTTATTCAACTAAAACAATAATGATAACAATAATAAAACAATAATAATAATGAAAAAACAATAATAATATTCGTTGCATTATTGTTGCAGCTTGCATCGGATCGGAAAGAGTTGCGAAAGCAATAATTAAAGTTAATCAAACATTGATTAAGGATGGTTTTTGGCATAAATGTACTCATCATGCAAATAATCAATCAGCAATTTATACACAAGGAATCTTTTTTTTTTAATAATTAATTTTTAATTAAGTGTTTTAATTTCATTATTTAATTCCATTCCTTATTTTATTTCTATTCTTTTAGCATTAAAATGGTAAATGTCTTGTAATATTTCTTCAAATTTTATTATAATTTATTTTGTAATATTTAATTAATTATCTATTATCATTTATAATTTTTATGGAAGTTATTCTTACTTATTATTACTATCATAATTATCATTACTATTATAATTATCATTATTATTGCAGAAAATGATTGTAATGTGAATGGTAAATCCTATCATATTGGTGAGGAAAAACGATCCGATTTTTTAATACGGAAATGTACCGAAAATGGTTACGAAATAATTGGTAAAAAAGAAATTTAAAAGTTTAAATTAACTTTGATTAAATATATTTCAAATGAAATAATTAAATAATTAATAAAGAAGAATATAATGTGTTTCAAATGGAAAATATATATTTCAAATGTATCCAAATGAAATTATTAAATAATTAATAAAGAAGAATATAATGAAGTATATTTAAAGATAACAATTTTTTAAATAATTCAAAAAATGGCTTTTTAAAAAAAGTTTTGAAAATATTTTCGTAAATATATTCAGGTTGCTATTATCCGGGTAAAAATAAGATGATGATAGATATGAAACCTGGCACAACAGCTGAGGTGGATGGAACGATACATCATTGCGATAACAGTAACAACATTATTCAATATTATACAAGAAGTAATAATGTATTTTTTGTTTAATCTAATAATTAAAAAAATTTAATAATTTTTTTCTTTCATTAATTTTTTAATTGCTAAAGAATTATTAACTAAATTTGTTAGGTAAAGTTAATAATTAAAGAATTTTATAAAAATAATTTTTTTCTTTCATTAATTTTTTAATTGTTAAAGAATTATTAATTAGATTTGTTATAGGTAAACT